AGGTTTGTGGATGAGGAGCACTCTGTTCCACATAGTCACTCAGGGACCTATGCTCCTAGCATGTGCATCATCCTTTGAGACCTCAGAATCCTCTAACTCAATCTGTGACTCTTTAAACCAGGAAAGAGCTTATGAATGAAAGATGGGGAGATGGAAAGATAAGTAATGGCTAGACTTAGAAGTGATGTACATCATTTATATCCACATGTGTCCAGCTATCACATGTTCACATGACCCCACTCTGACTAGAGGGCTTTCTGGGAAATGTGCTATAGATATGTGCCCAGGAAGAAAAGCAAGCAGCTTACTTTTAGCCTGTCTCTCTGGGCTCCTCTGTTACAACTCTCTTCTTCCTCTGCTTACTAGCTACATGGTAGACTGAAGAGGTTCAGATGCTTAGAGACCCTAGATTCTTTTCCACTTTCATCTCAAAAATGAACTTGAAGTCTAGTCTTGGTATAGGCCGCCATCCTTTCCTGACTGGCCCAGAGTTGGCCTCATCCTGCAGTGCTGGACTTCGACTTCCAAGGAGTCTGGTGGCCCTAAGCTGGCCCTGAATTAAGAGAGGTGATTGTGGGATCAAAGAAAGTACAGAGCAAAGAAAATCCTCTGCACCGTGCTGATAATTCCAGGGAAGACTATCACATAGTAAATGTGAATGAGTAGGGCAGGCAGGGAACAGTGGGTCCCTTAGAGAATACTTACCCCTCCTAAAATTCTAGCTGAGTGCCAGTGCTTAGGAATATGGGCCCCTTGTTGCCAGATCTTCACATTTTTCAAGAAAAGTCAGAAATCTAGATTTTTATTTGAAAAATCATTATTTTTTTAAAAAATTGGTCAAATAAAATACCTGTGGGCCAGATTCAACCAACAGGCTAACCATTTTCTGTCTCTGGATTCTGCAATGTGACTCCAGGGACTCTAACCTCACCATTATGCTGCTCATAGAGCAATCAGAAGAGCTAAGCCTCTGGCACTCTTGAATAAACTGTATCATAAGAAGGGGAGGGAACTGAGGCAGGGGCAGGGGGAATGTGTTCAGATGAAACACCTCTGATAAACCTGACTTTGAAACAAGCTACCAGAGGCTGGTATGCCAATAATGTCCAAAGTGCCAGAAAGAGGATGCACCTTCTACGTGTATGCAGCCTAGAACATTCCAAGGTTAGGCTAGAGATTGGGGATAAAGAATCTCTGCCTCAGGGGGACCTCTATTGCTCATTACCTCTTAGATCCTGTCATGCTGTTGACAAACTCTGTCTCACATCTAGGTTCTAGCATACTCCACTTTACTCTGCAATAATGTAGCTCAGCCATTATGATCTCACCAAGTACTTAGAGAAGGTGACCTGTACATGCACAAGTTGCAGAAAGCCCATAATGTTTTATTACCATGTGATATTTACTGCTTCTATGACATCCAGGCTTACAATCTTCACTTTCCTTCTTCTAACTTAAATCCTAGTTGAAAAAAACCTCTGAATAGGTCTGAGAAAGGATTCACCAACATGGAAGATGGAAAGGCTAGAAAAATTCCAGTATTGAATTAGAATTAGATGCATTGGTATTGTAAGGGCCTGCCCCTCCCAGAGGAACTTTCTTGTAAACCCCGGATATAGGGGCAGGCCAGGATGGATGGAGACATCCAATCAGTGGGGCATGCATATATTACTGAGGTGAGTTGAAATCCCATTGGCCACCTGTGTGTGGGCCGGGCTCAACCACCTCTATAAAGGTTAGTCTGTGAGGCTGGGTGGGGGAGAGTAGTAGGAGGAGTAGGAGGAGCAGGAGGAGTTAGAGGAGTTAGAATAGCCATTAGGGAGAGCTGTTAGAGCCATTAGTTAGGAGAGCCGTTAGGATAGCCATCAGGATAGCCACAGTAGGGATAGTTGATCGGAACCGCGCTGCCGCTGTCTGGGGAGCGGCCTCGCCACTACCGAGCCGCGGCCTCGCTGCTCCGAGCCGTGGCCCTCAGCAGCGGCGCCCCAGGGAATGGCCCAGCCACCAGCAGCCTCACCACCACCCAGCCATGGCCTCACTGCCACGAGCGGCCTTGCCACCCCGAGCCACGAGCGGGCCTCACTGCCCCAAGCCACAGCCCCGCCGTGAGGGGCCTCACCGCCCCAAGCCTCGGCCTTGCCGCGAGTGGCCTTGCCTCCCGGAACCGTGGCCCCGCCGCAAGGGGCCTCGCCAGATGGCCTTGTTGGCGAGCAGCCTCGTCCAGAGCAGTGGCCTCCTCTGGGGAGCAGCCTTGTCAGAGTGGCATCATGGGGAGCAGAGTCTGTGTCATCGGGGTTGTTATCCTCCTTGTCATCGTCACTGTCGTCGTCGCCTCTTTGTCATCGGGAGCGGCCTCGTCCTGGGAGTGGCCTCGTCCAGAGTGGCCTCTTCTTGGCAGCAGCCCTGTCTGGGGAGCGGCCTCTCCAGAGCAGCCCCTGTCCGGGGAGCGGCCCTATCTGGGGAGCAACCCTATCTGGGGAGCAACCTCATCAGCAGTGGCCTCGTCCTGGGAGCGGCCTCCTCTGGAGTGGCCTCATCTAGAGAGTGGCCTCATCTGGAGTGGCCTTCTTGGGAGTGACCTTGTCGGGGTCATTGTCGTCGTCTCTTCGTAAGAGATGGCCCCTACCAGTCAGTTTGATTTTTGATGCTTGGCGCAAAATAAAGATTTGTTTGATTTTCGCTTTGTGTCAGTCTCGTTCCTTTGATCACGGACCCTAACATTGGGGGCTCGTCTGGGATCAAATGACGAGAACTGAGCCAGCATCGGAATTTTTGGGAAAAGCCTCCGGAGGTATTGGGATCTTGGGTATTGGGATCTTGTCTGTCTGTCTGGTTGGAGCTCCAGGGTATGGCCCACTGGGGAAAAGCTGGACACAGCCATGCTCCCCAGGGCTGGAGTGCATGCGGGGACGTCCCATCCCTCTGCTGGTAGATCGACGGGGGGTTCGAGTCCCCCTGGGTGGTCGGGGGATTCAAGTCCCCTTAGATGGTCAGGGGGTTCAAGTCCCCCTGGGCTGTCTCTGGGGGTTTGAGTCCCCCTAGGCAGTCAGGGGATTGCCAGGGGTTTCGAGTCCCCTGGGCGGTCAGGGGCCTGCTGGGGGGTTCGAGTCCCCCTGGGTGGTCAGGGGCCTGCCGGGGGGTTCGAGTCCCCCTGGGTAGTGGCCAGGGGGTTCGAGTCCCCCTGGGTGGCCAGGGGGTTAGAGTCCCCCTAGACGGTCACCGGGGACCGAGAAAATCCCCACCAGTGGCAGGACAGCTGGGTCTGCGGTTGTCTTTGTGTTGTCTTTATGTTGTCTGTTGTGTTGTTTGTTATGATTGAAGGAATGGGGCAAGCAGAGAGTAAGGGGACTCTGACTTTTGTCTCTCCTTTCCTCATAATAGATGTGGAGCTTCTCCCTCACTCATTTCGTGTGTTAAGGGCTATAACTGGAGCCAACTGGGGTTAGTCTAATGCCAAGTTAAGATGCCCAATGCTGATTCTCATTGGAGCCGGGCGTGGAATATGAGTGCCTAGTGGGCCACTTTTGGTAAGCAGAACTGGCGCTGCGGGATGAACTGACCTCGAGACAGAGACTTTAAGGAATATTCCCAAGCAGCTGCCGAAACTCCCTTTGTTTTGGGGAATTCCTTGCCTTCTCTGGCCCAACGTGGACTGCCTAGCCCCTCCCCCTTGCTGGAGGGAAAGCATGGCGTCTGAAGTGGAATGGGCCCAGGTGGAACGTGAGGTCTGTTAGCAAAGAGATGACTGAACTGATGGTTAATTGTCTGTCTCAGGGTTTTAATGGGTAACTGTTAAAGTAGCTTTCTGAGTCTTTGGTAACCTGAAGCTTTGAAGTTTTGCTTGGATGACAAATGGGATGAAGTGCTAGGATGCTGGTTGCTGGAACTGAGTTTGTGCTTTTGAAATCTGTTGGTAAACATGTTTTGTGCTTAACTGCTGTTGCAACAGTTCACAATTGGTTAATATTTGGTCTTCACTAGAGATTGAGATGTTTCTAAGAAAATGTAAATGGTTTTCTCTTTGCCCGCCCAGAATTGTAAATAAGATCTCTTTGACTCATAAGGCTTTCCCCTGATATGCAAAGTTACTGAGGAAGTACTGCTAAATCAATGATAAACCTTGGGTTACATTTGGGTAAATGCTGTAACTACACCAAAGGTTCTATACATTTCCTAAAGTTTTAATGTTGATAAGGGTCATCGTTTGATATTTAACCATATCTACTCTGAGTTTTTTTGTCATTTGTAATTGTTTTAATTCTCTCGTAAGATGAATTCCGCATTAAAGGAAATTCATATGGGAGACTTTCAGAACAAATACAGGTCTTTGATATGTTGAAATCCTGGAACTGAATTTCCAGAAGTAAAAGTTGCGCTCGGACTAAACCAGAATTAGTACGGAGACTCAAGGTAAGAATGAGTCTCCAGGAGCTTTCCTAGAAAGGCTAATTGAAGCCTATAAGATGTATAGCCCGATCAACCCTGAGGCACCTGAAAATCAGAGGGCAGTGAATCTTGCTTTTGCCAGTCAGTCAGCCCCGGATATAAGGAGGAAACTTCAGGAAATTGAAGGATTTGAAGGGAAGAATCTGATTTAGTTATGGGAATAGCAGAAAAGGTGTTTAACAGCAGGGGATGGTAAATGGAAGGAAAAGCCTAAGCACAGAGAAGGCAGGTGGGAAGACTTAGATTCAGATCAGTGCACTTACTGTAAGGAAAAAGGACATTGGGCCAGAGAGTGCCCCCAAAGGAAGACGACAATGTTGGCCACCAGAGTAAAAATTGAAGTGGAGGGGAAATGAATTGATTTTTTGGTGGACACGGGAGCCCAATTTTCATCATTACTTAAACCTATGGGAAAACTATCTGGAGAGGAAGTCTGGGTACAAGGAGCAAATGGCACAGAGAGACGTAAATGGACAACAGAAAGGACTTTAAATTTGCCCTAGGGAATAGTTAAACATTGATTTTTGGTCATCCTTAATGTCCCATATAACTTGATGGGAAGAGATCTCCTCCACAAGTTACAAGCTTGCATTCAGTTCTCAGAAGGAGACATGACTGTAACCTTGAGACAACCCACAGTACAGGTGCTTATGGCAGCAGTAGATGAATACCTCCTTTACGAGTCAGTCTCAAAACCAGAGGAGACAGAGGAGGGGAGCCTTCTCCAAATCCTACAGGACGAGTTTCCCCAGGTCTGGGCAGAAGGGAAGCCCCCTGCCTTGGCCAAGGAACAACCTCCAGTGGTGGTACAATTAAAGGCCATGGCTACGGCTGTTCGCATTCGGCAGTACCCCCTTCCCCGGGAAGCAAAGGAAAGGATCAGAGAACACATTAACCGCCTCCAAGGAGATGGGATCCTAGTTCCTTGCAAATCTCCATGGAACACATCTTTGCTGCCTGTCAAAAAGGCCGAGACTGGGGAGTACCGACCCATCCAGGACTTGCAGGAAGTTAATAAACAGGTTGAAGATGTCCACCCAACAGTGCCTAACCCCTATACCCTACTCTCCCTCCTGGGCCCCAAAAGAACTGTGTATACCATCTTCGATCTCAAGGATGCATTTTTCTGCATATTTTTAGCAAGGGAATCTCAGCCCCTTTTTGCTTTTGAGTGTTGCAACCCACAGAAAGGGTTTCAAGGCCAGATCACCTGGACAAGACTTCCCCAAAGATTCAAGAATTCACCCACCATTTTTGACAAGGCCCTACACGAGGATTTGTGTGAGTACAGAACCTCCAACCCAGGAGTCACTCTGTTACAGTACGTTGATGACTTGTGTTGTGAGCAGAAGGTTATAGACTGTTAAGTGTTATGTGTGTAATGGCTCCAATTGTTCGATATATATAGAAAGGAAGGAATTTTAATCCCTTTGGAATTAGTTTTTCATATCATTTTTACTATGAAAATTAACTTTTTTTTTTTTTTAATTCTCAGATCTTCCTAAATACTATGACAACTGCTCATTTTTCTTTCGGTTCCATACATCTTTTGTACAAAATAACAGGTATGGATCTGATATAATCCAGTAGAAATGGCTTAATCTCCAAGATCTGTGTAAGGCAGAATGGCTCTCCTACCCTCAATTTATAGATTATGTGTGTGTGTGTGTGTGTGTATACGTACATAGGTCCTAAATAGTATTTTTAATCTAATATTTACCTTACGAAAAATGAGAATGTTTGCCATTGTTATTACTCTGAACATGAGTGTGTAACTTCTGCTGAGAAGTCACAAAGTGTACAAGTGTTAAACAAATTTCTAAGCCTTAGTGGTTTTGTTTTCCTATTAAAATCATCAAGCAGAACTGCCAACAACTAACAATGTTGATCAAGTTAAAGTTTGTGCCCTCCTTCACCTTCTGCATGCTCCCTGTTATGGGAGAATCTGTTCGATAGTGAAATGGAATGTGTGTGGAAGCAAGTGACCTCAATTGTTCCCATACCAGACAGCTACCCTTTGATCCCTGAAGCCAATCTGAACGCTCGCTCAGACAGTGGTCCTAAGCAGGAGCTCCACTACAAGAAGTACTGGTCCAGGCAGTGTTGCTTAATTTTGTGATTTTCAAGGGCCATGAGATGAAAACTCTCTCATGTGTGGGTATTCTTATCATTAATACTGACAGTCAATTATCAATGTAGCTGCTCCTTGTAGAAATGGATGAGGTCTCTGGACATAAACTGGCATTGGTCTCTGGTCAGCACGATGTCAACTAGGTTGGAGGACTATTGTTTAATTTATATAGAAAAAACTACATTTCCTTAAATATTTTTTTTAAGATTTTCTTTACTTATTTGACAGACAGAGATCACAAGTAGGCAGAGAGGCAGACAGATAGAGAGAGAGGTGGAAGCAGGCTCCCTGCAGAGCAGAGAGCCCGATGTGGGGCTCGATCCCAGGACACTGGGATCATGACCTGAGCCGAAGGCAGAGGCTTTAACCCACTGAGCCACCCAGGTGCCCCCATTTCCTTAAATTTTGATAGGAATGGCAAGAAAAAGCCATTTCTTAAAGTCTCCTTTGTGTCATGAGCAGAAGGTTATAGACTGTTAAGTGTTGTGTGTGTAATGGCTCTAATTGTTCGATATATATAGAAAGGAAGGAACTTTAATCCCTTTGGAATTAGTTTTTCATATCATTTTTACTATGAAAATTAACTTTTTTTTTTTTTTTAATTCTCGGATCTTCCTAAATACTATGACAACTGCTCATTTTTCTTTTGGTTCCATACATCTTTTGTACAAAATAACAGGTATGGATCTGATATAATCAAGTAGAAATGGCTTAATCTCCAAGATCTGTGTAAGGCAGAATGGCATTCCTACCCTCAATTTATAGAAACCAAGAAATCCTCAAGTCCCCCATTCTTCATTATGTAAAATATAGGGCTATTCTTGAGAACCACTGTGGCATTATCCTCAAAGTCCATGCCATAGGACTGTGTCATAGGAGCTGAAATGTATTCTAATCAGATCTAGGGTGTGGTGATAAATCCCTCCCCTTGCAAATGTAGTAGGAGTCTGCTCAGTTACGCTGACTAGGGCAGGTCCACTGTGTGTGTTCATCTACTGATGACTGAACTACCTACCACATTCTAGGCCAGAAAGGAAAGCATCCTAGAGGAAGGCTTTAGCTAGTTTCAAGGTGACTGACACACCTAGATCTAGGGCAGAAGTTAGAGGACACAGTAAGCATCAGTGAAGACAGCTTTAAAAAAAAAAAAAAACAACAACAACAACAACAAAAAAACAATAGTCTCCCATTTAGAAATGACTTTCTAGTGACTAAACTGGGAAATCTTTTTTTAAAAATTAACTGAAGATTATTATTCCAGGGAAACTTCTTCCCTATCTGGAAATTCATTCCTGAGTCTGGAAGTTCTCTAGAATTCTAGTTCTCTAGTACTTGAAGGAGGACTGAGTTAGTGGGAATAGTAGAAATAGCCGCTGAGGACTATGGGTCTTGCTTGCGGGGGACGAGAGCGCTCTCACAGACTCTGCAGGGAAAAGGGTATCGGGTGTCAGCAAAGAAAGCACAGCTCTGTCAGAGCCATGCCACTTATCTAGGCTTTGGTCTCCACGAGGGAATGCGTTCACTGTCTGAGTCCAGGAAACAGGTGATCACCGGATACCCCCGCCCCACCACATCCCAACAAGTGAGGGAGTTTCTTGGGACGGTGGGCTACTGTAGGCTGTAGATACCGCGGTTCGCGGAGATTGCCCGACCGCTCTACGAACTGGGAAAAGGGGGGCTCACTACGGTAGAGTGGACAGCTGAGGCAGAAGGAGCATTTCGGGAATTACAAACAGCCTTGCTGAGCGCCCCAGCGTTGGCCATCCCAGATGTTACCAAGCCCTTCCACTTGTATGTGGATGAAAAAGCAGGAATAGCCAAGAGTTTTGTCTCAGACTCTGGGACCTTGGCAAAGGCCAGTAGCCTATCTTAGCAAGAAACTAGATCCAGTAGCAGCTGGGTTCCCCCCTTGCCTCCACATAATTGCTGCCACGGCCCTCCCGATCAAGGATGCAAGTAAATTGACTTTGGGTCAAAACCTCATCTTGACCACCACCCACGCTATCAAGGGCCTTCTCCAGACTCCACCAGACCAATGGATGACAAACGCCTGAGTGACGGGGTATCAGGCCCTCCTCCTGAACAAACCAAGAGTGACTTTCCGGCCCCCGGTGGTGCTAAATCCAGCCACACTGCTGCCAGAGGAGCTAGCTGACCATCCACACGACTGCAGGGAGGTCCTAACCCAAGTCGCAGGAATAAGGCCAGATCTCAGAGACATTCCCCTCCCGGATGCTGAGATGACTCTGTTCACAGATGGGAGTAGCTACATAGTCAATGGAAAGAGGTATGCAGGGGCTGCGGTTGTTTCTCCTGAGCAGACACTCTGGACAGCAGCCCTGCCACATGGAAACTTGGCGCAGAAAGTGGAACTGATTGCACTCACTAAGGCACTGCAATGGCCAAAGGTAAAACCGCCAACATCTATATGGACAGCAGGTATGCCTTTGCTATTCTCCATATACATGGGGCTATTTATTTTATAAAGAAAGGTGCCTATTAACAGCAGAAGGAAAAGGAATTAAAAACAGAAGAGAAATATTGGCTCTCCTCCAGGCTATTTGGGACCCAAAAGAGGTGGCCTTTATGCATTGCCCGGGACACCAAAAGGGGACTGATCTGATTTCAAAAGGAAACCAATTAGCAGATGAAGCTGCAAAGCAAGCAGCCCAAGAAACAGTGCAAGAACTGGTTATACTCCCGGCTCCAGCCCTACCAGAAAAACCGAACTATTCAGAAGATTTAAAGTATTTACAGAAATGGGTTAAATTGGACTATGAAGGGGACTGGGCTAAGACTAAAGCAGGAAAAATAATTCTTCCTCGAAGACTAAGAAGTTAGTAGACCAGATACATCAGGGTACTCATTTGGGGATACGCAAACTCAAGGACCTTATAGGCAAGCAGTTCCAGGTTTCTAAATTAGGGCATATGGTTCAGGATGTAGTTGATAGATGTGCTCAATGCCAGGCAGTTAATGTGGGAAGAACTAAAATGGGAAGAGGGAAAAGAGAAAGAGGTAAGGAACCAGGAATTTATTGGGAAATAGATTTTACAGAAATGAAACCTGAAAAATATGGGCACAAGTATATGTTAGTTTTTGTAGATACCTTTTCAGGCTGGGTAGAGGCTTTTTCCGCCAAACATGAGATGGCAGGAGTGGTAGCCAAAAAGCTACTAGAAGAAATAATTCCTAGGTTTGGGCTGCCTCTCGCAATCGGGTCAGACAATGGCCCTGAATTTGTGAGTTCAGTCTCACAGGCATTGGCCAAGGCCGTGGGCACTAATTGGAAACTACATTGTGCCTATTGGCCCCAGAGTTCCAGGCAAGTAGAGAGAATGAACCGCACTCTTAAAGAGACCTTGACAAAACTAATTCTGGAGACTGGCGGTGGATGGGTGGATCTCCTTCCTTTCGCCCTCCTCAGGGCATGATGTACACCCTTTTAAACAAGGTGACCCTATTTGAAATAATGTTTGGGAGACCCTTCCCCCCCCCCCCCCGCTCTGGCCTTGGCTACAAGAGGTTGCCCTAGCAGAAATGACTGATCAGTCTGTACTCCAGTCACTGTAGGCATTACAGTCTGTCTTAAAAAAAGCCCATGCAGGGATCCGGACTGCCCACACTGGGACGGAGACGGAGGTGGAACCACATCCTTACCAACCCGGAGACTTGGTTTGGATACGTCGCTATCAAGTGGGAAACTTGGAGCCTCGCTGGAAGGGACTGTATACTGTTATCCTGACCACCCCCACGGCAGTAAAAATAGAAGCCATTAGGGCCTGGGTTCACACGGGTCACATCAAGCGAGCCGAGAACAAGGACACCCCCCCCCAGAGATGGAAGCCGCAGCCGACAGACCCCACTGACCATGGACTAAAGTTAAGACTAAAAAACTGTGAGTTTATTGTTGCTCCTATTGTTACCTGTTTATGTAAAGTATAGGCGGGAAATTAGATGAGTGGAATTAGGAAAAATGGAAAAGGTTATACAAAGCGTTGAATGGCTAACTCATCAGCCGACTGTGCACTACTGTTACATTTTGGCCCCTGTATCATAAACGCCCTAATGTCATTTGTACCAAAGAAAATTAGAGTGATAAAAATATTAGTCTTACATGCTCAATATAACCCCTTACAACAGGAGAACATAGAACTGACTGAAAAGTCAAGGATTTGAGTAAATTCCAAAGAAAAGGGGGGAATGTAAGGGCTTGCCCCTCCCAGAGGAAATTTCTTGTAAACTCCTGATATAGGGGCAGGCCAGGACGGATGGAGACATCCAATCAGTGGGGCATGCATATATTACTGACGTGAGTTGAAATCCCAGTGGCCACCTGTGTGTGGGCAGGGCTCAACCACCTCTATAAAGGTTAGTCTGTGAGGCTGGGCGGGGAAGGGTAGGAGGAGTAGGAGGAGGAGTTAGAGTAGCCGTTAGGGAGAGCTGTTAGAAGCGTTAGTTGGGAGAGCCATCAGGATAGCCACGGTAGGGATAGTTGTTCAGAACCGCGCCGCCCCTGCCCGGGGAGCGGCCTCGCCAATATCGAGCCGTGGCCTCACCACCAGTGGCCTCGCCAACCCGAGCTGCAGCCCTCAGCAGCGGCGCCGCGGGGAACAGCCTAGCCGCCAGCAGCCTCGCCACCACCGAGCCGTGGCCCCGCCACGAACGGCCTGGCCACCCACAGCGGCCTTGCTGCCCCAAGCCACAAGAGGCCTCGCCACCCAGAGCCGCGAGTGGCCTTGTCGCCCCGGGCCTCGCCACCACTGAGCCGCGGCCCCACCGCAAACGGCCTCACCGCCCAGAACCGTGGCCCCACCTCAAGGGGCCTCGCCAGAGCGGTGTCATTCCAGGGAGCGACCTCGTCGGCGAGCAGCCTCGTCCAAAGCAGTGGCCTCCTCTGGGGAACAGCCTTGTCAGAGTGGCGTCATGGGGAGCAAAGTCCGTGTCATTGGGGTTGTTGTCCTCCTTGTCATCGTCGCTGTCGTCGTTGCCTCTTCGTCGTTGGGAGCAGCCTCGTTCTGGGAGCGGCCTCGTCCAGAGTGGCCTCTTCTTGGGAGCGGCCCTGTCTGGGGAGTGGCCTCGCCAGAGCAGCCCGTCTGGGGAGCAGCCCTGTCTAGGGAGCAACCTCATCAGCAGCAGTCTCGTCCTGGGAGCGGTCTCATCCGGAGTGGCCTCATCTGCAGAGCAGCCTCATCCGGAGCGGCCTTCTTGGGAATGACCTTGTTGGGGTCATCGTCGTCGTCTCTTCGTAAGAGATGGCCCCTACCAGTCAGTTTGATTTTTGATGCTTGGCGCAAAATAAAGCTTTGTTTGATTTTCGCTTTGTGTCAGTCTCGTTCCTTTGATCACGGACCCTAACAGGTATTACTGTGGGAATTTTTCATACATATAAACACAAACATTGGAATAATTACAGATGTTATATATGTGTGTATATTAATATATATGTATGTACATGTGTATACATATGTATTTTTTCAACTTCATCTCCTGAAGGGGTCTGGGAGCAATGATAGCCCAGTAGAAATGAGGATATTGAGTGTTCAAATCAAACTTGGCATCTAATGTCATTTTTCATTAAAAGGAGCTAAAACTCCTCAGTGGAATAGCACTTTCTATCACTGGGTGAGGAAGAACAGAATTTTTATTATTTTTTTAATACCAGAAAATACAAAAATACTCAAAAGAATTACTGGAACAAAAGAGTAAGAGCCAGCTTGAAGAGGCCCCCACTGGCCAAATCCAGAAAAATTTGAGCATCTAAATATATAGCGGGCATACCACTCTCTAGCAGCCGTGGAGACCCCACATGGTTCTGCCAATGCCCTGATAGAGAATTTGAGGCCAGCATTAAATTTGAAATATTTCAAGTATTTCAAATGGGCGGGTACTGAAATACTTTAGCTAAACAATTTATTGTCAATGAAAGAATCATCAGTTTAAAAAAAAACAATACACACACACACACACACACACACAAGTCACCTGACAACCTATCCAATTTCCCATCTGAATATATTCCAGCTATGCCTGACAGCTGTGCAGGCACAGTTAGGGTAGAGAGCACCTTATGCTCTTGAACTTTTTGATACTACAGTGCAAGATGATTCACCAGTCTACAACAGATGCACCCCTAGTCTGTTTTTCAGTGCTCTCTCGCTCTCTCTGTCTTCATTTGAGAATATGAAAGAAAAGTGGGTACTTCCAATGCCACTGTCCACAGGCTCCTATCTTGCGTGTTGGGACCAACATGGACCTCAAATGATCCCTCTACTGCTGACACATGTGCTAAGAGCAAAAGCCAATCACTCTGAAGACTGCTGAAAAGCAAGCCCATGGCCTGAAGGCTTGCAAGGGTGTGCAGTGTTTTGCACTCAAATGGAAAGGTCAAAGAGTGCATTGACAAAACACTATTTATTAGCTGTCCTAATCCTCCAGAACAGAAGGGCCGCAGGTGTGTGCTGCTCCAGACATCCCTCTAGAGCCCTTCCTGCACCAGTGGTGTCCAATGCTACTAAAAGCAGTGTTTAAGTTGAACTAAAGATTAAAAATTAAAATATGCTTCTGTAATAATGACAAATGCTCTGCATCCACCCACATGTACTTTTGTGAGACAGGGCCCATAGGTATGGTCTATTTAACTCAATTTAAATAAATTAATGTTAAGTGCTGTGCATTATAAGAAAAGTGATCGCCATTTTTTTTGTCTTTTTATTTCTTCTTATTTCATTTAAAAGGAAGGTGTGCTTGTAATGACTGAAAAATTCTTGGCTCAAAATGTTGAAACTGCTTCACAGTTACACTCTGGAGAGTAATTTGGTACATCTTAGAGAACTTTTTTTGGTTTTTGTTTTCTCTTCTTTTTCTTTTGAGGGGATGTATGGAGCAATTTTTATTTGGTCTTGTTTTTAATTAACCAGTGGGCAGTCCTGACCAGAGGAGTATTGCTTCTTATTGCTTATTCTGCTTCCTAGATCCAATTTGGAAAACATAATGTCCATGTGCTGCTATGAGAAAGTAATATAATAGAGTAAGTGTCTCATTTAATGACACATGATCCTTTTTGAAAGTTGCCTTTTCTCTCCTTGAGTGGGCCCAGTATTTTATGAAATTATGACTTATAAAAATGGGTGGGACTTTGATGTACTATAAATGTGACTATGACTGTCAAGGAAATTTTTCTGCCATGTGCTGTTCTTGAAGTTGTTTTCTGACCTCTCTCACTGATAGAGAAAAGTACTGCCCCTTTTGAAATAATCCAAACAGATTCAGCTCTTAATTACTCCCTGTTTAGAAATATGCACACAATGTAAAATTGCAAACCATTACATAAAATCATAACCAAGAAGTTCATATTAACCCAAAGTTAATAAATACAAAGGGGAGAAAAGAGAAAGCTCATTCTTTAAATAGAACACCAGCCAACATGTGTAGCTAGAACGGGGGAAATATTAGCTGAAAGTCAAACCATCACAGGAGTACTTGGTACCAGCCAGAGTTGTCAGTGGATGTGAGGTTTGGTGGATGGAGGTTTGGGGGTAGGATAATTTCAGAACATCGCTTTGCAAACGATGAATCAACTACAAAGGGGGAAACAGCAGCTATACATGAGGAAGGCTGGAAGACACTTAACTTGTCCCAGTGGTCACGATCAATGTCTTAATGGGACCAGTAAACATGTGACATCACTGACATGATGCACTGAGAAGAGTCCAGCATCATTTCTGCACTATTTCTGCCAAAAACATGTGGCTTGCATCTGGTCCAGAGAAAATATAAGACCAACCCCAACTGCTACTTATGCTATAGACCACTATATTCTTTAAGCTTTACAAAGACCTGAGAATAAGAAAGACTGGTCCAGACTGATGGAAATTGATGCAACATGTTCACTAAGTAAAACACACATTCCTAGGTAGGATGCTGGGCCAGAAAGGAAAATAGACATTTGGTGTCTATTTTGGTGGGACAGTTGGTAAAATTTTAATGGGGTTTGTGGAGGGGATGGTTATGGTGAACCAGTGCTGATTTCCTCATTTTCGGAGGTTTGGACAGTGGCAATGTAAAGCAATATTCTTGTTTAGGAGAAGTATATCCCAGAATATCTAGTGGTAAGGGGAAATCTGGGTTTGAGAAATGAGAAAGTTCTTTGTTTTGTTCTTGCAATTTTTTGGTAGATTAAAAACAGAACAAAGATTAGAAAAAAATGAAGCAAAATAGGAAGAGTAGTTGCCCTCTGAATACCAAGATTATGCCTGGTTTCTAAAATGTTTTGTTAAATTTTGCTACACTTTCCAGGTATTCAATAATAAACATGCATTTTTTAGTTGAGAGGCACTATATAATAAAGTACATAAAGTATACCCACTTGATTTTTTACTTGTGTTTACACACTGGGTGAGACAGTGAACATTTCCAGCATGATATAATGTTC